AGTGCGAGAGCATCGAGCAGTGCAAGGGGCCAACGGCACTGGTCACGAACCCGAGCCAGACCCTGCATGCGCTGCCACTGTTTGTTTTCTCGTACACGTGCCACCAGAACATCTTCTCCATCACGAACGAGCTGAGCGATCCAACCCCGCAGCGCAACATCAAGGTCTGCGTCCTGGCGGTTGGCGCAGCGTTGGCGGTCTACATCATCCTTGGCGCGTCGGGCTACTCGACCTTTGGCGGCCTCGTGGACCACGACATCCTCGCATCGTACCCTTCGGACAACGGCATTGTTGCCGTCGCCCGTCTAGCGATCTCGCTCGTGGTGTCGTGCTGCTACCCCCTGCAAGCCCACCCGTCGAGGGCGTGCACCACGTCGATCGTCAGGGCGTGCGGCGGCGAGGACATCGACGACTTCGTCCTGCACATGGCAATCACAACGGTGTTTGTGCTCGCCTCGGGCTCAATCGCCCTCGTCGTGACGGACCTCGGGCTCATCCTCTCAGTGGTGGGTGCCACCGGGTCCACCACCGTCTCCTACATCCTTCCCGGAGCGTGCTACTTCATCCTCTTCCCCGAGCGACCATCGCGCTGGCTCGGCTTTCTCCTTGCGTGCACTGGGCTAATCATCATGCCCCTTTCCCTGTGTCTCATCTTCTGGAAGTAAGGGGTGCGTCTCGGAAACTGACTAATATCGTGTTGATACGGTGTGTGTGCGCGCTGCCGGCGCTAACGCCGCTCCAGAGAGTGGTCCCTCCCGCAGCGCTCCTCTGAAGACTTGGACCATGGCCTGGCCCTGGAGAGACCTATGCTCTGGAGTCATCTCGCTCTTGATGTCCGCGCCTGTGGTGTGGCTGTGCACACGAGATGGATCTGAGAGAATGAGGGGCTAGAGAGGCGTCCGAGCGATATCGTTGTTTTTCACGCGTCTGCGCTCGTCGCGTTCGTCTCGCAACAAAACGCACGCTACGTCACAAAATATGCACGCCCGCAAACCTGCCGCTGCGGGCCCACATACGTCATTATGCCGTACATACGAGCGTTTCATAAACGGTGTTGTTTTTTTCTTTGTGGACTTTGCGCAGCAGCGAGAGTTTCTCTCGGTTCCGTTGGCCTCTTTGTAAGGAAGAATTTTGATATCCCTCAAAACGCCTGCTGGGGGCAGCTTCACCTGAAGCCGTCTGCTCCCCCAGCAGGCACACACTAGGACAGATAGGAGGAGGAAGGGGATGGCGGTGGGTTCGACGAGAGAGAGAGGAAGGCACTGGCGACGCGCACAAGCTGACGTCAGCCATTTGCGTCTAGGGCACCTTGCCAGTAGCCTCCTGTCTGTGTTACGCCATGTGCCGCTCGCTCGCCCGCCCGAGTGACTAGGACGCGCGGTTGAAGGGAACCCACCGTGGTAAGGGCGCGCTGGTGCTCGACAGGGCGCCCCCACCCATCCACCCTTTATTTTGAGGCTGTCGCATCGAGAAAGCTTGTCTCGCAGCTGCTGGTGAACCTTCTTTTGTAGAACGCTAGGATTGAGAGCAGCCTCGCTCTCAATCCTAGAAGTCGAAGGATTGGGAGCAGCACTCCTCGCAATCGTAGCATCTCTGTGCGATTGTGAGCACCTACGCTCAATCCTACATCTTCTAGGACTATGAGCAGCTCCGCTCCCAAGATGACTGGTGACGCCTACGACTACTACCAGCGCGCTCACAATCCGAGCAAACTCTAGGATTGCGATGCTCACAATCCTAGCAACATGCCTCCGATTGCGAGCAGTGCTGCTCGCAATCCTACATCTCTTGTAGGACTATGAGCGGCTGCGCTCACAATCGTACCAAAGATCTAAGGATTGCCAGTCGCAATCGATGCATGTTGCTAGGATTGCGAGCGCAGATCTTTGGATCTTTGGTACGATGT